TAAGACGCTTTACGCTGAGGCAAGTCAGAGTTCACGCCACTGATGATCTTCAGATGGCTCTCGAGAACAACATTACAAGGAGAAATCTTACAAAGCCAATCTTATACGGACTGGAACCCGAAGATTTTCCACCGTACACCACTTTTGAAGATCCGGTATCAGTCATCTATCTCAATCATGGAGAGAAGAAATGCATTCTGTGGATAGATGACATTACAAGATATTGTGATGGAACTCTGAAGATCATTAGAGACAAACTACTCCCGCTCAAATCTGATATAGAACAAAGACTTGCTGAAGCCTCTGAAGTTGAAATAAAGGAATTCGACAGAATAACCGCGGTGCTAAAGGCAATCAATGGCACACTCGAAATGAGGAGAATGTTGCGCCTGTATGAGCACACCCTAGCATTGCGGAATAACTACTTCAAAAGGCAAAGGAATCAATAAGAGCTGACAAAGGACATTGGATATCAAAGGGGGAGATTGTTAGAGATATTTTATGATTGTGATCCATGTATTTTATTAAGCCTTTTTGTAGATTTAATTAGACATCAAATAGGCCTTAAATAGGAATGGCCTCCTCTTTATAGGAGCCCAATCATAAGCTGACCTACCATTCTACAAGGCTATATATATGCCCTTTGTAGAATGCGTAGAAAGAGCTTTCCCAGATATTCAGCCGCAAAGCTATTTGCGTGAAAAGGTTTTTATACGCTAAGTTTCTTACTCATCATTCTGTAAAAACCTTCTTTAATGGAAAGTTTCATCTATATCATTTAGAGCTCCATCTTCATACATCATTCTATAGAATATAGAGTACAGATAACAGGGACCAACAAAGTATCATACTGAAGGGTGATCCCCTACGATCTCGAGGGGTACCAACTACCAAGTACCCCCGACCATTTTGTGTCTAAGTACACAAACGAAACCCTTCCCGAAGACGCTTTGCGCGCCATCCCCAAGGGGACGCAGGCCCCGGTTTTGTTCCTAGGCCAAGGAAACGACTCTTCACAAATGAAACGCTTTTTGCGTTGTCCCCCAAGGGGAGGCATGCCCCAGTTTTGTTCCCAGACTGAGAAAATGACTTTCAAAACCGAGATGCTTTCCGCGCCATCCCCTAAGGGGAGGCATGCCCCGCATTTGTTCCCAGGCCGAGGAAACGACTCTCAAAGCCCTTGGAATCCTGAAGGTTAAAACCCGAGGTGGGAGCCAACGAATTACATTGTTGCCTCCTGAAGGGACCGACTCCTCCAAGGAACCAAGTTCCACCCCCCAAAGGGGGGGATGAAGTCATTTTTTGATCGACAAACTATTCCAACAAAGATCATAAGGGTGAACAACATGAGAATTCGACTTAATTCGCATCCAAGGACCCATCGACACCAGTTCCAAGGACTATCACCATAAATGACCCAACAGAGATGAAGGTACTGAGGGCAGGATGGGCTGAACATTGCCACAACCTTGGACTAAAACCACAAACTTATGCTAAGTCTACAAATTGGAGGCCCCGACCACACCAAAGCGAGAGCTCACAAGGTCACATGGCTAAGAATTTGGTCAAGTCCAAACACTTAGCCCCCTCGGAACCACATGCATGAAATTCTTAAGTACAAAAAATCATCAAGGAAATCATGCACGATAAGGAATAATAGGTTCCCGAGGGCTATAACAAACAACACTTGGACAAAAGGAGGGATTTCATTGATAAACAGAAGTTCAATTACAAAATGGCTAATGTCGGGGACTACATTACAATCACATTCAAATAAAAAGAAAATGTTAAGTACAAACTAAACTGTTGGCAGAAAGGTTCCAGGTGAGAAAGGCCTAAAGCAGAGTTCAGATTTGGATGAAGGTCTTTGTGGTCCTCAAATTCCCCAACCCCTTCGTCCTGTTTAGAGGCAGCAACATCCTCCTCCTCATTGTCATCACCAAGGCCACACTCCCGCATTAGCTCAGAGTCCTCTAGGACCGGCCTCTCCACGCCGGGGGGCAATGACTTTCTTATGTCTGGCTGTCAAGGGGTAGACCCTAAGCCTCCGGCTCAAACTTCTCGGGAGAAATGCCAAAGTGACGGGCCAGCTTCCGATACACTAGACATTGCGTGAAGAACTCGCCCCCTTGATAGTAGGAGTTCCCCTTCAATGCGAGCCACTGCTTGCTGGGCCCTTCCATCAAGCTGTCAATAGATTCCTCGATGACGGAGGTTAACCACTCCTTCCTATCATCGGCTCTCCATCCCCTGGCAACGAAGGCAGCAACAATGTCCTTCGAAGCCTGATTGATGGTCTCACTCTTGACTTTCTCAGCGGCCTAAACGACTATCACGAAAGTTTCACCAGCGGCCTTATCAGCATCACTTTTGCCTTTCTTGATGCCATCAGACTTGGTGGCCTTCAGCCTCGAATCGATGTCTGCCGTTGTCAAGCACATATTCTCTTCAGCATGTACAACTCTTCGGGAAAAGTCACATCCTTGATCGTCACCAGCTTCTCGGATCCCCTTCGGGAAAGTCGAGATCTTCACCCCATCTTTCTCAAGGCTGGCACTCCCCACCTTTAAGTGCCGCTAGAATCTATCACGAAGAGGATCGGGGAAAGGGTTCTCCGTCATCCTTATATAGCATAACCGGTCCTTCCACCCCTTGTAGATGAGGGGGCTTCAAAAAAGCCTCAATTCCAGAACCTGCTGCAAATCCGCAAAGACCACATTGTTGGTGTGCCCTCCCCAACACAAGTTGAAGCATAAGAAAAATAATTCAAGGATCGGCTCCACACCTCGGGTCCGGCAAAGGTACAAGAAGCCGGCTAGATAAGAGTGGCTGTTTGGCGTAAGCTGGCAGGGGGCAAGACCTAAGAATCGTAGATATTCCACCATAAAGGGATGTAGAGGGAACCAGAGGCCTAGAGCAACCGAGAGGATGTGCACCGCGAAACATCCTTTGGCGGCGCACGACAAAACATCATTGGGGCCTGGCTCTACCACAAGTGCCGACGGGTCAACATAGAACAAGGTCACGTGGTATTCAACATCGTCAGCCTTGGTCTTCAGTACTAAGGTGGCCATGTTGAGGTAGGAGTGGCCTTCGGGCATCCCGACGGGTTGCCCAGCATCCACGATGACCTGATTAAGCCTTGAGGGACCTTTAACATGTTTCTTCTTCAGCGGTGCGGCCCGAAGGGTTTTTGGACAAAAGGGTTGGGAAGTGTTGGCTTCTTCGATCTACATGCGCTGAAGGGATGGCGATAGTCACCTGAAGGCGTTCCTTCTCCTCCTCCTCCTCGGCAGTTTGGACAACTACAACCATTTCTTCGTCCTCCACCTGCTGCTCGAAGTCCTTGTCTTCGGCTTCTGTCCTAAGGTGACTCTCAACTTCCTTCGCCAACTCTAAATCCGCCTGAGAGGAGGGTTGAGGCCGGACTCGAGGACTTTTCCTTCATCCACGTTTCCGATTGGACAGAAGGGGACTTGGAAATATTCTGGGAGTCGCTCTCGGAAGACATGCTTTCGGTTAATTTTCTATCGGAGGCGACTAAGGACACTAACACTAAACCCAGTAGCAGGAGAGCTAAATATATGGAAAATGGGAAGAACGGGGGAAGAACTGACCTCAAAAGCGGGGGTTTGATTGAATGGGGGCTTTCTCTCTCTAAAATGGATAGAGCTTCACTTCCCAGATCAAAATGCATAAACGCGAATGAGGTCAGACGTTGGGTATTTATAGTCGTCACAACTAGGGTTAAGCGCGGAACCTGGGCCTCCGGTTAAAAGCCCATCATTACGAACTGTCGCTCCATCCCAATCAGGAAGCCCCGCCTAACGAAAGCCTATCAGCATGCGGCACGTGCACATCTTTCCCAACGGTAACATTCCAACGGTCACCCCAGGGAACTCAACAACCCCAGCCGACATCCCTCACCAGCACCAATGATATACAACCCTCGGGTCATCACATTTGCAAACACCCCTTCAGCCCGAACAAGCCTTCGGCCTCTAGGATTGGGAGACTCCCCCCGGTAAAAATGAAAAATGTCAAAATTAATTCACAAATATCAACTGCAACAAGGCATCATTCGAGAAGATAAGAGAACTACACCCCTTTCCCTCGAGAAGCTCTCGGCAAAGGGAGTGGGGGACTCCTGATGGAGTATATGACCCGTGAACCCCCAGCCCACATACTCCTGTTACCTTAAACAAGCCCAATGAGCCCACTCCTGTTACATAAAAGAATGTTCGTTTTTTTAAGCAAAAACAAACACCACATCAAAATAGTTGGCTTACACCACAACATTATTGCCAACTGGTTTGATAGTAACACACATTGCCTAGCTAATTAAAGTATGAACAACATGATTCGTAGACCTTCTAAAAGAATATTCTCTTTGTACACGCCATATACACATTTCTACCCCTGTCCCGTTGTTCAAAGATTGACATTGAAAAGAGACATGTTTATTTAGACAATAATTAAATATGCTAATTTGAGTGTATTTTGGGAAAAGCTTAAATACGTTTTTAATCCCTGCAAATATGACATACTTTGTTTTTAGTCTCTGTAAAATTTTTTTTTTTTGGTTTTCATCCCTGTAATATGCATTATTTTGTTTTTTGTCCATCTCTAATTCCAAAATTACTCTACTTACAAAAAAGTTATTATCACTTGCATAAATCTACTAGAAACATTTAAATTTGTCCTTTAATAAATGTTTTGAGACTAATATGAGAGTTAAAACAATAGAAAACTAAATATTCACATTTTCAAATATATGTTAAAAACGTTCTAAAAATTAAAATTTAATACTTTCTGAATGACATGACAAAGAATTAGAGAAATTTATTATTCCGGGTTATTTTGAAGTCAATCCGAAGTTATTATCATGGAAAAATTTAATCCTTTAAATGGAAAATAAGAACTCTCAATTGGGACGTCAAAGAAAAGTGAGAAGCAAACGGAGGGAGTATATATTTTTGATGGAAAAATTTAAAATTTGGTGAGAATCAGTAACATAGTCTTCTTTTTATTTTTTTCTCTCCATTTCCCTTCTATTAGCTTTTCACTTCCTATCTATCAACCTTTTTCTCTATCGTAGGAAGGATATATAGTACAGATCTGAAGACTCAACAACCTCCTCTGATCCTGTACATCAATGCAGAGGGAGAATGGATGGAAGTCTCTCTCTCTATAACAAACTAACAATCAATGAAGATGATAAGGTAAAATTCCATACACTCACGCCTCTCATAGTCTTCTCATCTTTTTTCGGAATAATTAACACTTTGAATCACTACTACTCGCTGCTTTCTGTTCATGATTCTGCCGCCCGCTGCCATTTTAAGTTGGAGCAAACCCACGACTCCGCGCCGCCCTGCTCCTCCCATTCTTGTCTAGTCTACACTAACACAACACTAATAATAATAATTGTTATTATTACTGGGCAGCTCACTTCAATCCTTCCTATATTATGCTGAGCGGAGCGGCCACAAAACTGACGCATAACCATATTCGTTTTTACTAGCTTTTTGACCCGGAATTAGAGAGAGAGAGAGAGAGAGAGAGAGATGGGCTTGCCGCCGCTTTTTGGAATGTTTGTTGTTCTTGGGCTTTTGGTCTGTGGGAAGGGGTACCCGGAAGAAGACCTGGTCAAGGCTCTGCCCGGCCAGCCAAATGTTGGGTTCAAGCAATATGCTGGGTATATTGATGTTGATTCCAAAGCTGGGAGGAGTCTCTTTTACTACTTTGTTGAAGCTGAACTGGACCCGCCTCACAAGCCCCTCACTCTTTGGTTAAATGGAGGTCCAGGCTGCTCTTCAATTGGTGGGGGAGCCTTCACAGAGCTGGGCCCATTCTTTCCCAGAGGTGATGGACGAGGTCTTATAAGAAATCCAAGATCATGGAATAAAGGTATGCTGTTTTTTTGGTATATGCTCTTGAATTTATTATATGTACAGATGGGATGCATTCATATTGCTGATTTTTTGAGTGTTTTTGTCATAGCATCAAATCTCCTTTTCGTTGAGTCTCCTGCTGGCGTAGGATGGTCATATTCAAATACAAGTTCTGACTACGAATGTGGAGATGCCTCAACAGGTAACATATAATTCCTTATTTCTACCGCAGTTTTAGTTTATGTAACTCTTACATTAAAAAAACCAACAATTCTTATGCTTTTTGCAGCCAGGGACATGCGTATTTTCATGACGAATTGGCTCAACAAGTTCCCTTCATACAAATCCAGAGACTTGTTCCTCACAGGAGAAAGCTATGCTGGTAAGAGGAATTGGGTGTTTTGGGAAGGGAAGGGTAGGGGATGATTGGTCTATATTCGTTAGATTTAGACTTGAAATACCTGTATTATATGTTAGACCAAGTATTTATGTATAATTTCTTATCTTCACTTTATCCCCCATCTTGTAAATGTAGAAAATATTTTAAAAACTTAATATCACTCCTCCCTTACTCTCCCATCCTAAATCCTTGAACCAACCAAGCCCTTTATGTTTTCCTGCATTCGTGTATTAGGTTTGCTGAACTTTCATCGTATTTTACTTGTCTTACTTAGGACATTACATTCCACAGTTAACTATTGCTCTTCTAGACCACAATCAATACTCCAAAGGATTCAAGTTCAACCTCAAAGGAGTTGCTGTATGTGAACTAAGTTTATGTCGTATTGAATATATCATGGCTGTTCAGTGCTTATACGTTTGCAATTTTTTTAAATAATTGGTGACATTTTAGAGCCTTTTTGGCACTGGACAGATTGGGAACCCTCTGCTGAAACTGGATTGCGATGTTCCAGCAACATATGAATTCTTTTGGTCCCATGGAATGATTTCTGATGAAATTGGTCTAACAATAATGCAAGATTGCGATTTTGAAGACTACACATTTCCTCATCCACACAATGTGTCAAAATCGTGTAATGATGCCATGGCGGAGGCCGACCGCATTGTTGGTCAATATATAAACAACTACGATGTGATTCTTGATGTATGCTATCCGTCAATTGTGGAGCAAGAGTTGCGTTTGCGCAAGATGGTATTATTCCATTAATTTTTTTCCACATGATGCGTTGTATGAGAATTAGTGTTTTCATTAAATAAATTAAAAGAACAGCATTTTTTAGTGTTCTCAACAAAACAAAGCATTTTGCAACATTTTCATCAAAGCATCGCATTTGCAACGCTTTCATGAAAACACTACTTTATCCACCCACCCACCCACCCATTTATTTATTTAGTTGTTTATTATTTATTTATCCATCTATCGATTTATTACATATATATAATATTAGTTATTTATTTATTTATTTATTTATTATTTATTTATTTATTTATTTATTTATTTATTTATTTATTTATTTATTTATTTATTTATTTATTTATTTATTTATTTATCTAGGATCGATATTTTGATTAAAAATATGATTTCCATACAAACCTGATATGTTCATTCTTATGCTGTTTCATTATATGTATGCTACTTTTGGTGTATGACCTAAATTTTACTCCTATTTGAAGGCCACAAAGATAAGTGTAGGTGTTGATGTGTGTATGAGCTATGAAAGACGCTTCTACTTTAACCTTCCTGAGGTTCAGCAGGCCATTCATGCAAACCGAACCAAGTTGCCATATGGTTGGTCTATGTGCAGTAGGTAAGTATGTCAAACATTTTGATGAATTTTGAGATGAAACGTGTCTAAGAAAACCTTCTTAAACAGTATATCAGCAGTAGGACGTTGAATTGGCCCCTATATTATCTTTCCTCGGACACGTAAGGATATAAAGCGTTTTGGAGTTGCAATTTCCAAACGCCTCTATATTCTCGTAAAACTAATTTTCTCTACTAGAGAGAGATGCCAAATACTAGTAAATGTTCTATTTTTCTTGAAAATTGATGACTAAATACAGTCTGCTCAAATAGACTTCCTATTTATGAATCTTGTTTATTGAACACCACATCTTTAGGAAAGATTTGAGTTTGCGCCCAATGTTTAGTTCGATATTAGATTTCACACTCCACCTTTTTAATTATTTGAGTTTGTGCCCTATAATAGAGAAGAGAGGAGCAAATGATTTTCGTATATTCAATGATGATCAAAAGGGTTTACAATAGGTGCTATTTATACAATCACTAATCAAGTCTATAAGGTAGGTAATAATACAATAATAATGATAGAGATATGTAACGGCTAAATGCAATATTATGTCTTAAATGTCAATTATTTATTTCCTTCAATACGCCCTCGCAAGCCAGGTATTCTGTCACTTCCAAGAATCCTGAGCTTGTCTCTAAGAAGGATAAAGCGTTGCCGAGGAAGTGGTTTGGTGAGGGCGTCAGCTATCTGAGCAGAAGATGGAATATGATGCACTTGAAGAAGACCATGTTGAACCCGCTGCCGAACAAAATGAAAATCAATAGCTACATGTTTCATGCGGGAGTGGAAGACAGGATTGACGGAAGATGTAGTAGCACCTTTGTTATCACAAAGGAGGAGTGGAGGAGAAAGGAGCGGGTGCCGCAACTCGCGCAAGAGAGATTCGATCCAAATAATTTCAGAGGCAGCGGTGGAAAGGGCTCGATATTCTGCTTCCGTGGAAGACTTAGCAATAGTGCGTTGCTTAACTGATCTTCAAGATATAAGAGATTCCCCGAGAAAGATGGCATATGCGCTGGTAGAGGAACGGTCATCAGGATTCCCTGCCCAATCAGCATTAGCAAAGGCACGGAGAGAGGGGGAGGTGCTGCGACAAAGATAGAGGCCATGAGAGGCAGTGCCGTGCAGATAGCGCAAGAGACGTTTGAGAAGTTGCCAGTGATTAACCGTAGGTTTATGCATAAATTGGGCCAATTTGTTAATAGCAAAGGCAACATCTGGGCGAGTAAGATTCAAATATTGAAAAGACCCGAGGACCTGTCGATAGAGAGTGGCATCACACGAGCCCGAACTGTCAAACAGAGTTAAGGAGGCAGAGGAAGCTAACGGTGTAGCCACAGGATTAGCCTCATCCATTTTTAAAATCTTTAATAAGTCCAGAATGTATTAATGCTAATCAAGAAAGAGTCCACCTTGTGTAGGAGTAACCTGCATGCCTAGGAAATAGTTTAAGGCTCCTAAATCCTTGATAGAGAACTTGCGGGCCAATGAGTCAATAGTCTGGCGTATCAAGTCCGGTGTAGAACCAGTAACAATGATGTCATCCACATAAACCAACACATATATATATAAGATGGATGGCAGGAAAATATGAACAGACTAGCATCGGCAACAGACTGATGAAATCCAAGTGAGAGAAGGAATCCACTAAGAGCCTGATACCATACCCGAGGCGCTTGCTTAAGGCCATAAATGGATTTGCGAAGACGACACACAAACCCAGATCCATCATTAAAACCAGGTGGTTGCTTCATGTAGACTTCCTCCTGAAGAGTCCCATGTAGGAAGGCGTTGTTAACATCTAACTGATGTACTGGCCAATCATGAGAGAGAGCAATAGTCAAGACAATGCGAATAGTGACCGGTTTTATGACCGGACTAAAAGTATCAAAATAATCAATCCCGGGGCACTGATGAAAGCCCTTAGCGACGAGCCGAGCCTTGTAACGATCCAATGAACCATCCGGCTTATACTTCACTGTATATACCCATTTACAACCTACAATATTCTGGCCAGGCTGAGGTGGAACAAGATCCCAAGTACCCTGTCGAACCAAGGCATCAAATTCTACTGACATAGCACTCCGCCATTCTGGTACCTGCATAGCTTGAGAAGCACAAGTGGGAATAACATGGTGAGGTAGGGGAATATTAGTAGCAATATTGGCTTGTTTACGGGGTCGAAGGGTCATTGGATGAGTACGTTTGGGCGGGGAATTATCGAGGTGTGGAGTTGAGGTAGTGAGCTCAGTGGTGTTGGGTGGATGAGGGGTGGGTATAGGGGGATTGGGTTTGGGTCGGCGGTGGTAAGTAATGATTTGTGGCGGTGTGGGTTGAGGACGGGGAGAAGTTGGGATATCACTTTGGGTGGAGGTATTAGGTGACTTACCGGGATTCAGTTGTTGAGTCGAGGTATGAGTAGGAGAAGATGCCCCCGTGAGCAGAGTACCTGAAATGGGAAGATAAGACATGGAAGATTGAAGCCAATGATCAACATCAGAAGTGATATTTGAGACTGGTGGTGGGGATGTAGAAAAGGGGAAGACTGTCTCGTCAAACACAATATGTCTACTGATGAAGATCCGGTTAGTGGTAAGATCAAGACAGCGATATGCACTTTGTTGGTCACAATACCCCAAGAAAACGCATGATTTAGAGCGTGGTTCCAATTTATGAGTGGTATAAGGACGTAACCAAGGAAAACACTGACACCCAAAAACAACAAGTTTATTATAATTAGGAGGTTGTTGGAAGAGTTTTTCATATGGAGTGCAGAAATTAAGAGAGAGAGCAAGTTGTCTATTAATAAGGTACACAACTGTAAGAAAGGCATAGGACCAATATTTAAGAGGTATGGATGCATGATGAAGTAGGGTGATACCAATTTCCACAATGTGACGATGCCGACGTTCAGCAAAGCCATTGTGTTCTGGAGTGCAGGGGGAGTAAATAAATGAGAAATACCACATGTGCTTAGGAATTTCCCTAAGGTTATGTATTCACCTCCCCCATCAGAATAAACTGTTTTAATTGAGCGTTGAAAAAAGTTTTCAACAATCTTTTTAAACTGCTGAAAGAGTGGAGTGACCTCGCATTTATGAGCCATAGTATAAAACCAAATATATTTGGTATAGTGATCGACGAAAATAACATAGTAACAAAAGCCATCAACAGAATTAACACGAGCGGGACCCCAAACATTTGTATATATTAAATCTAAAGGTCCAGAGCTTGTAAGAGATGATTTTGCAAATGGTAGCTTATGGCTTTTATTACTAGCACACGAGACACATAAGGAAATATTTGTAGTAACATTAGAAAAAGAAATACCTAAGGAAGAGAGATTTTTTTTTTTGTGATAGGGAGGGCAGGATGTCCTAAACGACAATGCCAATTATTAAGGGAAAATTTTTGTGTGATGTGAACGGATGGAGATGATGGAGGGGTACATCTGGCAAGCTGTAGACGTCTCCTTTATTCATACCCCGTAACAAAATTGATCCCGTTCGCCGATCCTTAATAAGACAAAAAGAAGAATGAAATTCAATTAGTACGTCATTATCACGACATAATTTGGCGACAGAAATTAAATTGGTATGAATAGAAGGAACAAAAAGAGTATTAGGTAGGAAAAGAGAGTGAAGGATCATATGCCCGACTTGTGCTATCGCAAGACCTTTACCGTTACCAATAACAAGAGAATCAGTGCCAGTATAATCGGATGCCAAGGTAAGATTATTCAGGTTATTGGTGACGTGATTGGTCACTCCAGAATCAAGTAGCCAGCCATTGTGACGAGTGACAGTTGTATTAACTTGGGGAGGATAAGCTTGTTGTTCAAAATGATGCCAAGAGTTGATAGCAGAATGGTTCGGTTTCCCACAAATTTGACATGTAACATTGGGCCCGAAATTACCAATCCCCGAACTGTTGCGGGCTGTCTGATTGCGTGTAGGACCCCCAGAATTGTTATTTTCACGTTGGTTGGGATTGTAATTAGTATTGGGTCGCTGGTTTCTGGGTTGATTCCGATTAGTATTGCGGGCTGAATAATTAACCAGATTGGGTTGCTGTTGAAATTGGGCCGGTGGTCCAGGGCCCAAAATGGACGGGACTGAATCTCTGCGAGCCACAAGTGCTGCCGACTCCCCTGTACTCACGTTATTAGCCGTCACCACAGCGACGGAGGAAATAACTTCTTCTTCTTTCCGCTTCGAGGAGTCTTCGAAGCCCGTGAGCAGTGTATGGATCGTCTTAAAGATGTGGTCGCTGCAGGTACGAATGGAGTTAGCAAACGATGCGAACTCAGGTCGGAGTCCCTCCAGTGCTTGAATGACGAAGTCTTCTTCGTCAACAGGGCGGCCGGCCTGAGCCAACTCATTGGCGAGCGTGCGCAGGTGATGGAGATACGCTCCCACTGGTTGAGAGCCTTGTCGGTAGTGGCGGAAGGTGTCCTTCATGTTGCGGATTTGGGATGGTGAACGAGTCCCATAGAGTTCCTCTAGAGTCTTCCAAACTGCGGCAGATGTGCGAGCAGACCCAATCAAAGGTTTACAGGTTGAATTCAGGGAGGCTACGAGAGCATGTCGGATAAGCCAGTCTTGCCTAGTCCACCGGAGATGGCCATCAACATCACTCGTTAGTGGTGGGTTAGCATCATCAGATATAAACTGATCAAGATGCGACCCAAAAAGAAGATCCAGAATCTGATCCTGCCATACCAGGTAATTTGAACCATCAAATGTTTCTGGGAAGTGACTGGGATTTAACAGGATTAATCCATATGGGGTGAGAGGTGTTGCAACTGAGGTTGAAGGGGTATTTGAAGGGATAGGTGTACTGGTAGGGATGTTGTCTAGGTTTCCTTGCTGGAGGAGAACCTCAAGCAGGCTGTCGTTTGTCCTCATAGGGAAGAGGAAAGGGGTTGGTTAGAGCTGACATCGCCTGATACCTTAATAGAGAAGAGAGGAGCAAATGATTTTCGTATATTCAATGATGATCAAAAGGGTTTACAATGGGTGCTATTTATAACATCACTAATCAAGTCTATAAGGTAGGTAATAATACAATAATAATGATAGAGATATGTAACGGCTAAATGCAATATTATGTCTTAAATGTTAATTATTTATTTCCTTCAATACTCTATAACTGGGCTATATATCTAGACTTTGCGCCCCATGATTAGATTACACAGTTGACTTTCTACTAGGGCTGTTAACAAAACGAGTCGAGTCCGAGCACCCGGAGCTCGAGCTCGTCTCGATTCGAGTATAGGGGTGTTCGGCTCGATAGGCTTTCGATGTTTGAACCGAGCGCTCGATAATCTCGAATTTAAAATTTTAGGTGATGCTCGTTAATAGGCTCGTGCTTGAATTATTCGACACATATTCGGTTCGATAATAATCATATTTAAATTCATAAAAACATACTAATTGTATTTTAATTTTGACGTATATATAAATTATATTTATAATTTCAGGGTGTTCGATAGGCTCGAGCTCGAACTGAGCCAAATACTACTATGTTCGAGCTCGGCTTGATTAATTTTTCGAACTTAAAACTCAGCTTGAGTTGGAGTTGGGAAGCTCGTTAAGTGGCTCTTTAGGTTCAAAATCGAGCTCGAACTCGAATAGTTCGATAAAAGCTCGGTTCCTTAACAACCCTACTTTCTACCCCCACGTTGGGACTAAGGGGTGCATAATTTAAGGATTTTGAGAATGGGGTGGAAAGTCCAATATTGAATTAAAGATGGGATGAAAACTCTATTCTTCCTTTTTAAAACTGAAGAATTGTACTCTTTTCTGGGATAAAATTGACCCTTCCCCCCCCTAAACTGCAGCATTCTGAGCTACAATCAATCTGATGGAAGCATTGACATTCTACCTCTGCTTAAAAGGATTGTACAAAACCACATTCCAGTCTGGATTTTCAGGTGAATATTTCAACGCGTTACAATATTAGCAGAGTTTTGGTTATGAGTACTCCAATTATTATGTGATATAATATAGTATAGTCTAGCGCAATTATCAATACACTTAATGCAGCGGGGACCAGGACTCTGTTGTACCATTGCTTGGGTCTCGGACACTTGTCCGTGAACTTGCTCATGACTTGGGGCTCAAGATGACAGTCCCTTATGGAGCTTGGTTTCACAAGGGACAGGTACTACTATGTTTCCCTTTTCTAGCTCTCTATGGTTCTCTTTGGTGCGATCAAACTGACACCTAATGATGGGTTGAACTATAACAATAAATTAATCGTTTGAATGACTGGATGTCATTCAAACAAAAGTTAATTCAACCTAATACAATATTTTTAATTTTTGGTTCCTTGTCATACAACACATAATCATGTAGTGAAGGAGAACTTAATCATTAAACAAATATCTATCATGTGTTTTTAGTGTGCTGAATACAAATATGTCAAGTATTACTTTTTTACATTGGAATGGGTGTTATTGGAAAATATAGTTACTTGTGCAAAAAATTAAGATAAAAACTATTCATAAACAGATGGGATTTTATCAATATGTCAACAAAAATGTATGATATAGTTCAAAGTGTTCCCTGAAGGGGCTGAAAAAAAACATGTTAATAGATTAATTATACGATAGTATAATTCTCTGGCATGACATAGCTAAGGGCATCCCAGGCCCGGGTCCATCCCGATTTGGTAAAACCCTTCATTTTATGCGTATAACTTTTTGTGAAAAAATGTGTGAAAAAATATTTATATCGCCCCACTTTAGTAATTTTCCTGGCTACAACACTGCTTTGCAGGATAACATGTAGGACAAGTAAAAACCTCAGTATTTTATGATGCATCTTTTTAAACACAAAGCCGCAAAGGAGTATCATGTTGAATTTGTGTATCAAAAGGGATTGACTGCAACTTATCTGATAGTGTTCTATAATATGTGGAATAGGTGGGAGGCTGGGCAACAGAGTATGGAAACATATTAACCTTTGCCACGGTAAGAGGCGCATCTCATATGGTGCCATATGCTCAGCCCTCTAGAGCTTTGCATCTCTTCAGCGACTTTATACATGGGCGGAGGCTGCCAAACACAACTCGCCCCTCCATTGATGAATGAGTCAAGTTCCCGACTTCAAATTGCAGCTTGACATTCCTCTTAGCTCTTTCCATTATTAAATGTTAGTAGATCGCCACTAAATATTAGTAGCCCTGCCATGAATCATTTGTAGTTCATTCTGAACATATAAACAAAGTTTAATATTATGAAGCTAGATACCCGACACAAAATTTAATATTATGCCCATTTACTCACCATGAAACTCAAGTAAAACCAGAAGTGTGTAAATGCATGCGGTTGTGGAGGGTGTTTTTTTTGGTATAGTGTTGACGATTCAAATAACCATCGACTCATTGAGGGTACTATACCGGGCCTATGGTGAGCTAAAGTTTTTGGTATAGAGTGCAATGTAGTTTAATAAAATTTAGAGCCCGTTTGGTAACACTAAATTTGGCTGAATCAAATTTATGAAGTTCTGGCTAAAATGGCTGTATTGTCTGATTCTGTTGATTAATGAAAAAATTATATTTAAAATATTTGTTATTAATAAATTAAATAAAAAACTATATGAAAAAATAGCTAAAACGATCTTCTACAGTAACATCAGCCATGACAGCCAGAAAATTAACTTCAACCTTACCTTTTCTGTTTATTACAAACTTCAGCGCGCGAAATCAAATGTTACGTGTTTGGTGAAAAAACTGGTTGATAAGCCGAAAAAAGGGGTCACCAAACGGGCTCTTAGTGTAAACTTTTTTCCTTGTCCCCTTTAGAGCGCTCGCCTAATATAATCAATCACTCTTCCGTCTGGTACAATCCACATGTTTAGACCTGGCCCTGCAAATAACGATGGGCGAAAAACTCGATCAGACATGGACATTCAGCATGGCATAGGTGTAGTGCATGAGGCGTACTGCAATTCCAATTTGAATGGGTTTTAAGTATTTAGAAGGGGCCTATTAGTGTATAGATAGATCAATCAATTACTCGTATTCTATTAAAGGAGAGGTGGACTTGGGACCAGTTCCGAGTAATAAGGCCGGGGAGAATTGAAGCTCAACCACGTAAGTTAGTTACCTGCCAGCTGAGGGTTGAGCCAGTGACACTTATCCTCCATATGTGGCTTGAGAAGTCCCATCTAGGGATGCACTCGGTCTGGGCCGGGCCTGAACGGGCTTTTTTCGGGGAATTGAGGCCCGGAACCGGCCCGGATACCTACAATTGAGAATTGAGAAATTTTTAAAAATGAAATACATTTTCTAATAAATAATAATCAATCGGAATCTTCGCCATCTTCGGTTGTTTCCTCCATAAAGTGGCGGGTGGGGGCGATGCACACTTCTCGAGTTCTACGTTTTGCTTTCAACCAATCGTGGAAGCAAACAAGCGTCTCAAGAGAGTTCACGCTTAATCTCGTTCTATAATCTGTTAGCACGTTGTCAGTCGCACTGAATTCTTGTTCCACAACAACTGTTGATACCGACAATGCTAGCACTTCCTTAACCATCTTTGATAAAATCGGGAACGTTCTTTCTTTTTCCTTCCACCACTTTAGAACGTCAAAGTCATCCCCTTCTTCATAATCAACAGGAAATGTTAGATACAAAGAAAGCTCGTTAATCGAGTTTTGTTCATTAACGGGAGTTGATTTACTTTTTTTCATAAGATTGCCAAATGCAGATTTGAAAGTGATTTTTCTTTAGATGAAGAAGATGTTCGTGTTGGGGGAGGGGTGTGTTACTATATTGTGCATGAAACTTGTTGGGATATTGGGCTGCAAGCCCAATACCCGGATCCAAGGCCCAGGATATCCAGTCTGATAGACGGGCCCATAATCCAGAAGATGAACAGACTCATGGAAAAATATGTACCGAACGAGGTTCGGATCAACTAACGCACTTGGGCCAGATCAATAATGGGCCAGACCAATGGTGATTCCAGATCAGTGTACCGAACGGGGTTCGGGTCAACCAACGTACTTGAGCCAGATCAATGATGATTCCAGCAGGGTTTTACTACCCGTTCGGGCAACGGGTAGCCAACAAGTGGCAGGGTACATTTATCACTAAAGTATGGCAGCAACAAGTTGAAGCATGGGTTTCCAAGTGGCTACATAAAGCAACCAATCAACATGAAGTACCCCATACCCCCCATTAGTATAAATAGAAGGATTAGTTTCATTGTAAAGAGTTAGCATTTTGATACTCAAGCCTAGAATAGCATTATCTCTCTGATTTCTTGTATTAATTACTATTCCGACATACCGTTCGGGTAGTTTACCGTGTAATCGTCAAATTACTTAGTACAAGTGGGCTTTTGAGTATTCGTTGATCTCATCTTTTATATTTCTTTTATACACTGAAGTATTGTTCCATTTCCTGAGATATCCAAAGTTTGTGTTGGGCTTTCGGATCTACGGGATTAAACTTCAACATTGGCGCCGTCTGTGGGAACACTGAACAAAAAGTTTTCGCACCAAACAACAACTTGTTTCCAAAATGGTTAGAATTACTTCTCATCACACCGGAGAAACCTCAGAAAGATGCGGGGAAAGCCGGACCCCCCAAGGGCAATCCAGCCGGGGATCCTACCCGCACTTTGATGGGGATTTCTTCATCCCTGAAGCATTAAGAAGGAACCCCCATGCCATGCGAGATTTGGCTCAGGTTATGCAAAACCTGGCAGATGAGCAAGATGGAGGACAATCCAGCTATACGGGGGAAACCAGGTACACAACCCCATCATTCAATGACGATACCACCGATGCAGAAACAACCACGGCATCGAATCATTCACGAGCCCACCGGGGAGCGCGCGGAAGAACTCATGCGGCCAGGGGCAGGCATCACACTCCTAGTGACCGCACCCCGACCGGGTCACGGGCCAGAGGAGATACGCCTGTTGGTCACCATTTCCAGTTTGGAGAACGTAACAATACGCGATTCGGGCATAGACGTCAGAATCAGAGAACAACTCCACCGGAAGGGAATCGGGAGTTTGTAAACTTGGGAACTCCACCACCACCTCCCCTAACGGCCCAGGAGGAAGAAATGGCCGATATGAGGAGGCAGATGAACGAAATGAGGGAACAAATGAACAGAACCCCTCTACAACCAACCCCAGTGCGGGTCGGGATTACTTCCCCCTTCACCCGGGAAATTATGCAAGTGGAAATCTATAGGGATGCCAAACCGCCGACCGGTCAGATATATGACGGGGCGGGAGATCCCCATGGACACCTGAGGAGTTACCAAGGGGGTTGATGCTTTTGGGAGCATCAGAGGCGGCCATTTGTCGACTTTTTTCAGCACGCTCAGGGGACGTGCCCAAGAATGGTTCGGGACTCTGCAGCCCGGATCGATCGGCAGCTTTGCCGCATTATCAACTTCATTCCTGGCCCAGTTTGCCTCCAGTGCCACTCCGAAAAGGCATTTCAGTTACCTGACCAGTGTCAGGCAGGGCCCAAAGGAGACCCTAAACCAATTCTTGAAAAGATGGAGGGATGAAACCCTAAAGGTTGGGAGCATGACGGATGATACAACCATCACTCTATTTACCAACGCTCTCCGAACGAGTGAACTGTACAAAGACCTAAAGACGAATCCAGGCACTATGTATTCTGAAGTGCTAGAAAGATCCAAGAAGCATGCAGCTCTGGAGGAGATCACGACCAGGGATAAGGTAGTTGCGCCCCCTACCCCAATGAAACTGGCCGATCGGCTGGGTCCTACCCCAGCGGCCGCTCCTCCTCCAAGAGCAGGACGATTCACTCTTTGGTCTTGTCCGTAGCAACCATCTATCGGAACGAGAAGGATAACATTCCCCCTCCGACCGACACTAAGGGTTACAAGGGGGCAGATGGGAATGCTTTTTGCAAGTACCACAACAGGAACGGTCACTCCACCCAATCCTGTCAGGCATTACAAATAGCCATTGAGGAATTGATCCAGAGGGTCATCTGGGTAAATATGTAAATACAGACCCAAATGTTACAGGCATTCTGAAACCGATCAAGAGATCCAACAGTTGGAGGCGAGATGTACAGCGTGATGCTCGCCCCATAAATGATGTATATAACCCTCCTAGAGATGAACCAGAAGGCTCGGGGAACCCGGGTAAAAAGCCCAGGATGGAGGTGAAAGTCATATTTGGGGGTGGGGAGACAAGCGACTCGAACGTCGAACGGAAGAAGTTCGAGCGAAGCCTGTACGTGGGCTCTGTAGCCACGCCACCCCAGAAGAAAGGAAGGATGGACCCAATTACATTTGGGCCTGCAGATTTGCCCAACTCACCAAGTTCGCACCGGGACGAGTTGATGATAAGCATGTGTATAGATAATGCTTTGATCCGGCGAGTGCTAGTAGATACAGGGACCAGCGTGAACGTATTGTACTAACAAACGTTTGAAAAAATGGGCCTGCAAAGAAATCAGCTGACCCACCTGAGGACACCACTGGCAAGCTTCACCGGAAATTGCATCGAAGCAGAAGGGACCATCTAGTTGATGGTTGAAATTGGGGATGAAACACACAAGACATCGGTCCGAATGACGTTCGTGGTGGTAGATATCAAATGTGCCCACAATGCCATCTTGGGTCGACCGGGATTCGAAGATCTGGAGGCGATAGCCTCTGTCCGCCACTCATGCATCAAATTCCCACGGACACTGGGGTTGGGGTGGCCAGAACTAATCCAGCAACAGCCCGAACATGCTATCGAGAGGCCCTGAAAAATATGAACACCCGGGGAATGCGGGTAAACAGCATCGACATGGAAACACGTCGAAAGGAGTTCGAGGCACATCCTGAGCCTGCCACCCTCCTCGAGCAAATTGACCTGGATTCTCCCCCCAACGAGAGGGTGGCCATCGGGGTGGATCTGGAGGCTGAAATTCGGGAAGGTATAATTGCAGTACTGAAGAAGTTTCAGGTATTGTTTGCCCGAGGGCCAGAAGACATGTCGAGCATTGACCCGGATATAATTTGCCACAAGATGGCTGTTCGACCTGATGCAAAGCCTGTTCAGCAAAAGAAAAGATACCAGGCGACCGAACGACGTGATTTTACAAAACAGGAAGTGGCCACCTTGCTGAGAATAAAACACATCCGTCCAGTGATCCATGTTGAATGGTTATCCAATGCGGTGCTCACGCCAAAACAGTCAACTTGGAGGATGTGTGTGGATTATTCTAATTTGAATAAAGCCTGTCCAATGGACCCATACTCGGTGCCGAGGATCGATCTGTTAGTGGATGAGACGGCGGGATGTGAGTTGTTGAGCTTCATGGATGCATTTCGTGGGTATCATCAAATTTTCATGCACCCGGATGACGCAGAAAAA